TCAGGGCCTATGGATTAATATTTGGAGGGAAAAAGAACTAAGAGCTTTATTCTGGAGCAGTGAAAGTAATTGAAGCTATTATTCCGACCCCTCCAATGCAAAGTAGGAACTAATTTACATGTTTTAAGTAATAACATGTTAGAATATTTGTGATGCTCTTTGGTTTTGAATACTTCGCTTATGTATATATAGCTGAATTTTGTAACTACCTTTAATTTTTGTTTTTGAATTGAAAATGCTTGTAATGGTAAATCAAAAAGTTTTATATCACATGCGACCTTTTTTTTTTCAACATTAGTTAGATTTCTTCAATTTTGTTTTATACTAGAAATAAATATATTAATTTATAGGTTTATTATTTCAACATCAACACAAATGGCTCTATAGAATGTAGATTAATCAAAATTTTCCAACTTACAGATACACATGTTCCCACTTTAATAATTTAAAATAGGTGAATTTGAAGTAATGACCAGGATTCATTTCTTTTTTTAAATCTATTACTTAACTAAAGAATGCTCCAATTGTTCAAAACTCTAGATTATTTTTTTCACCCAGTCATGGGAGCTTCCCTTTTATTTTATATATTTTGGGAGCTGTTTTTGTCATGAGTGTTTCTATTGCTTTTTTATTAACTATATATGGCTCAGTAAGTTTAACACCAAGCTCACTGTTGTGTATATCATCTCAATTCAGACTAGCTAGCTTAAGAGGTGCGTTTAAGTGTAGCTGTCATTGATCCTGCTACTCCATATTAGTAATGCAAACTTGTATATTTACCAAAACTAGAATTTGGCTCCATTATTTTTTCACAGTTAAAATGCATTCCTATAGAGATATTGAGATTGAGAGAGAAAAAACATAGTGGACTAAACTAGTAGTTTCACAAAAGCTTGCGTAGCTCTGCCACAGTTTGACAAACAAAAAACAAATTAAGATAAAAAAAAAAAAAATCATTAAAAACATATGAAATTAAATGTTTGTGGCATTTATTTGTAATTGCTATTATTTCATGGATCATGGATCCATCAACTCTTAGTTTTGATAGAAAGTGCACAAAGTAAAGATTATCAATCATACCTTTGTACTTGCCCTGTACTTTTCACTAAAGGCTTTCAACTCTTCAATAATTCCGGGCTCCCCACAAAAGGCCTTGTCGTCTTTTGAGTTCCACCTGCAATTAATATTAAAACAGAATAGATGAGGATTTTTTAGGAATATAATTCAAGTAAACATCAATCATTCATAACAATATAGATTCAATCATTAATATGAAACCATTTTTTTCCCAAGAAATAAATTCATCCATTATTACAA